CTTCATTTGTCTCGGATAGTCCGATTCTTCGATTCGATTGTACTTTATGCACGTATGGTTCAATGACGATTGTCACATCAAGGGGGATATATTTTCAATGTAAGTCATTAGTTTACTCTTTTAGACGTTCTCTTAATCGAAATACAAAAACAATAAGAATACGAACAGTAAGTCGTGTTAATTCTGTTCTGCCTGAGGTGGCGGGCCGGGGCCTGGATTCCTCGGGACGCTGGAGGCAATCGAGGTTACCGGTGGTGACCCTAATTATACCCAGGGGAATAATTGTAAACTGAGGGCAAATCGTAATACCCGCAGTATCGGGTATCTTGATCAGAATGGGTCCGACTTTAGTATTGATTTTACATATATCACTATTTCCCATATGAGGAATCGACTCGATTATTCATTGTCGATTCGATGGTCGTGTGTTGGTGGACGCTTGCCCTGGTACATGATTGATAATAGTAAAATCGAAGAACCTTCAAGACGGAGATCATTTAAGTTCGCCGTGTCGTGTTGTAAAATTTAACNCCTTTTGCAACATTTAATAGATATTTACAGTGCCCCTAAAGGGACATGGAACCGTTTTCCTGACTTTATTTTTTTTCTCTCTCCCCTTTTTTTTTTTTTTTCCATGTCCCTTTAGGGGCACTGTAAATATCTATTAAATGTTGCAAAAGGAAAAAATCCCAACAATGTTTTTTTTTCCTTCTCTAAGTTTGAATTCATTTATGAGATGTGCCTTTTTCTGAAGTAGGCCTATGCACAATTGGTAAATAAAGTTTAAAAAAAAAACGTGTAGTATATTTTGATTCTAACACTTTTCTACTTTTACTTGAGTAACATTTTGCAGGACTTTTCACATTTTCCTACAGTATTCCCACACCATGGTACTTCTATTTTGATTAAAGTACCAGATCTGAGTAGCCTACTTCTCCCACCTCTGATAATACCTAAAAAGCACCAGGAGAAAAGTGACATCTTCAAATAGCTGTTTTGTCTGACCAACAGTCCAATACAGTTATCAATACAATCATACAAATAAACATTTTCCAGAAGAAGTTCGAAATCAAAGAATGGTTGAGAAACAAACAGACGTGCAATCATCGCTAAATGCACTTTAGTACAGGGGTATCTCCTCTTGCACTTTATGTCGTTGCTGCTATATTGTACTGCCATGTGGTAAATACTTGTGCACTGTGTGTACTCTGGCTCTTTTTGCATATCATGTATTTTGTTTTTGCTATGTTTGTAAAATGTAATTTTCTTAAATGTTTTATGTGAGGGACTGCGGATGGAAACGAGCTTAAAGCTAAATCTGGCACTGTTACGCTTGATACATTTTAATGTGTTAAGTGTTCATTATTGTGCATTGTCCCTGCCAAATAAAAGATTAATACAAATAAATAAATAATGCATAATAGCCAAGATAAATGTACAAACATCTTGCCTAATTTGGGATTTATCATAGGTTGTATGGTAGGCTATCTATACATTTCCACAACAGACTTCCAATAATGTCATTATGGAATCAAAATATTTACATCATAATCAATACATTTTAATATATTGTTTTGCACTACACGAAACACAAATACTTTTCGAGAATTGTTTTTGAAGAATCGGGAAGAATATATATATTCTACATAATTCCTTGCAGTAGGTGGCAGTAATGTGCATTTACTGTCGTTTACCAACTGCCAGTAAACACAAAGAACAAGAAGACGTGAACTAGTGAGGAAATGGAAATACATTGAGCTCTTTAAATACTTACATTTTCTTATTTAAATACATGTATTACTAATGTATTATTGAGGACATGGTTATTTTATAATAGCAGTTACACTCGTAGACTCTTTGTACGAATACAGTGAGTGGCAGAGATGATTCATTTGACAAGATAAACAAGGGACTGAACGTAGTCTCATGCTACCACTTGATAACATATGCGCATGTACACTTGATACATAAATCGGCTTTTATGTCTGAAGCTTACCCTTGTCACCTTTTAGCTTTTCTTGTTACGAGCACAGACAGTGTCAGATTATCAGAATGATGCCACATAAGGACAAGTAATTGGACAAACTACAGCTGAAGGAATGCCTCGTCGTTTGTTGTCAGTATGGTTTTGGTTTGGGTCAGATCGTGGAGGATTCTGTCTGGGAACTTGTCTCCTGACAGCTCTCCTGCTGCTGATGTATGCTGGAGGAATCCAGGCCAGCCTCAGCCTGGGTCCAGGTGGAGAGTTCCCAAGAGTCAGAGGTAACTGTGTTTATCTGCTTGCACGGTTTATGCAAATACATATCGTTTACTTCATCTGCATGGTCTTGCAACATAATCTGCACTATTGTATTCTACTATTTTTTACTCTGTTTCTTATTTAATTTTTACAATTGTTTTATTGTCTTATGTCCGATATATAATATGTTGCATTGTTGGAGGAGCTTGGGAGTTAATATGTTGGTTGCTATAACAACTACACTGGAGTTATATGACAATAAAGCCTTTGAATCTTTGAAATATATAGTAATTCAATGTTTAAATTAGAGCTGAAACGATTAATGTTTTTTATTTATTCCACTCCTGGCAATTATTATAAAACAAAACATGTACACTTTTAGCAATTAGAAAATAATCGGCAGCTTTGAAAATAACAGTTATTTAAATCAAAGCCAAATCCAAGCATAGAAAGCAGGTTTCTCTCCTAACTCCTCTCTCTTCTCCCCAGATGTGTTCCTGTATGCTCTCAGTCACGATGACCTGCCCTCTCTGCTGGTCAGCGTTGCCTTCCTGCTGGTGGTGGGACCGTGTCAGGAGCGCCGCTGGGGAACCGTCGCCTTCCTGTCCCTCTCCACCCTCACATCCATCATATCACCTCTTCTCTATACTCTGGTCCTCTGTGTCGGGGGGAGTGAGACGAGTCGAATCTGCGGTCACTCTGCCATCCAGCTGGCCCTGTTCACAGCGCAGTGTCGTCAGGTGGCTCAGAGGAGGCTGCTCAGGATCCTACCTGTCTGGTTGCTCCCCTGGCTTCTTCTGCTGACGGGTGTCCTTCTGCTGCCCGGGACCCCCGCCCTGCTGCACTTCTGCACAATATTCATCGGACACAACTGTATCCTTTCCTGTTTGTAAAGTCATCTACGCTTGTACCAAAATATATCCTACCAAGAAACATAGTATATATGCGGTTTTTCATTAGCCTCAACAAAAGACTGATTGGGGAATGCACAGGCTGTGGTTTAATGCAACCAGTCTCCATTCCCTGTTAGTTTTGTTGAACATGGAGGCTACAAGCAATTTACACTTTTTTCATTCTTATTATTACATAGAAATTGACATCATGTTATTCCTAGCATAGCTCTGCCCAACTTCTGTCTGAGCATAGGTCTAATCAGCCACAGTAATTAAGAACACCTCCAGCCCATAATCATTTATTTAACATTTCTTTAAAAACAATGACTTTAGTCATGGATACCCTTTTGTGTATGCTTTGTTTCAGGCCTTGCGACTGAAAAAATAACCTTCCATTACCCATTGTAAAGGAGTGTTACTTGTGTTTTGAGCTGAAGTGCACAGTCCCCCACCAGATCTATTATGAAGCATATTTCAATATAAAGAACAAAATCGTTTTTTTACAATACTTAATAGAGCTCTCAGATCACCAGTCCTTCATCGGGATGCTACAGGAGCTGGAGGAGGCCAGGCTCTTGGATTTAATTCCTGATTGGGCGTATATCCGTGCTTCATCCCGGTTGAGATTGCCCACCTACACTACCTCACAGAGGTGTGATAGTTAACATCAAAAGTCTCAGGAAATATTCCCCCTCGCCACATGCATGCAGGGGCAAATGTAATCAATTTGTCTTTATCTGTTGTCACAGCTCTAGATCACATTCTCACATGATGCCTGCAGATCAGGCGGCTGCTCCCCCTGTGAGGGATCCATCTGGTTTTAACCCCCACCCATGGGTGGATCCAGTGCCGGCCTGGATACTGAACGAGTCTGCTGCGCTTTCCGAGGCCGACGTGCTGGAGGATCAGATGCTAAGGGCAGGAATACTGGCCTCATTACAGGATGCTCCCAACAACCCTGATGCTAAAGTGGAAGTGCCCAAATCCTCAGTTTCCTCTCTGCGGTTAGTAATGAAGTCATATCTTTCACAATGATGTAGATAGTTGGACACACACTTCCAAATGACATGCATATATATTTAACATTCCCATAACTAAACATATCTGTATATATGTAAAACACCCTTAATTTGAATTTATACTGCCACTTTTTTAAACATATTTTTCGTGCACTTTTATTCTTACATTTATTTATACTATTATAATTATTATCATATTATAACGCTTATTGCTGTTGCTGCTAAGACACCTGACTTTCCCTATGGGGATCGATAAAGGTCCGTCTTATCTTAATAAATGCCAATTGGCATTTTTGGTGAATATGAAGATATTTCCTCTTAAATGCCTTACATTATTTCCCAGTGGTTTTATTTATGTGATTTTAAGTAATCCTTCATTAAAACACCAATGTTGTTATGTCTCTCAGACTCCAGCAGCTGGAGAAGATGGGCTTCCCCACAGAGAAAGCTGTAGTGGCGTTAGCAGCCTCCAAACAGCTGGATGGCGCCATTTCCCTGCTCATTGATGACAGCGTCGGAGAACAGGCCGTGATGGTATCAAAAGGGAAGCAGAGCACTTAATCATTTTTGCTCTTGTACACTAAACTAGACGAACAGTATGCTTGGGTTTTGCTGAGCTTTAACCTTTTTTTTCCCTGTGGGCTACTTGTATTACTGACTTAAGGATAACATTGGGGAGGAGTTTTTCTTTTTTCCACAACGGTGAATCTAATCATGTGAAGATGCAAACAGCTGCTTTGAAGACGATTTCTGAATGCAAATTAAATGTACGTTGATTGAGTGGATGTCATTTATTTATGCTATAATCTCAATAAGTAATGTTGCAACACATAAAAAGAGATGACATGGTTATACAAAAAAATTAACATTATTTTATTACATCAATCACTTAGACAGGATTATCTTAACACAGTAACACATTTTCAAGAAAAGAAATGTAGAGTGAAATATGAAATGGTTACACAACAACATACAAAATAATTGATCATTTTAAATAGTTTCACAATAAGTTTGATATAAGATGAAAAAACAATTATCAAGTTTTTCATCAGGACAGTTTAAGCTGTCAACAGTGGTAAAAAATATGTTCAAGTTCCATTAACAGTTTTGTTATTTCCTGTGTGTGTGTAAAATATCTGGAAATGGAGAGCAAGTCTTTTTATAGTTATTTTTATATCAACATGTTCCAGAAAAAATAATGTCTCTGTTGATATGCCACCAAAACCAAATTGTGTTGCTTTTGTTTTTTAGCCTTGAAGGATGTTAATAAACTATTGTTTATTTAATCGTTTTAGCCGTGTGTACTTGAAGGGGGGGGGGCGGGGAACACTCACACCAGTAAGCTACAAATCACTGTTGGCAACACATACTGTATCTTAGAGTAGAGATGACTTCATCTTTTTAGTGCACTACATAACAATATGAGAAGTATAACAAAAATGAATACTATAAGAAGAGGTTTGTTTGTACTTGTGTCCTGCAAACTGTACATGCTCAATATACTTAAATAGTGGAATCTCTTCAGATTGCAGTTACATTGTGAAGCAAAAGAAAAACGCAAATCCAGTTTCTCACATCTGATTCCTCCTTTCATTGATAACTAAACGACCCTCATTGTCCAGAAGATTGTGATTTTCCTTTTTATAACCATTAAAAACGTTATTTCAAGATGAGACACAGAAGGAGCTGCTGGGTGTGTTACGTGAAGATAAATGTTTGGTTATGGCGATGCGGACGGGTCAAACTAGTTCTCAGGTTCCCGATGGAGGAGGGCATTGTGGGATATCAGTGGAGTTTCCCTGAGGTGTCCCCCATCCTTAATCTGATAGCAAAGCCCAGAGAGGGTATCAGATAAGGTCTAAATCTGTTGATTGCAGATGAGACCTAGAGGAGGGGGAGTCAACCCAGCCTTTGATCCTCAGGGTGAGCGGGGGGTGGGGGCTACTTCCCTCGAACCTTGGTGTTGGAGGACAGAGGAGAAGCAAGTCGATATGGAAGCGCACCTGCTCGCTTATCTCTGTAGAAACTAGGGGAGGCTGTGTCAAACGTTCCGTCCCCAGACCCTAGATCAGGCTCTGTTGAAGAAAGACAGCAGTTGGAACGGGGCCTCGCTGTCCATCAGTGTGTGAGGACATGTGATCTGTAGTCCTAATCCATGTCTGATGCAGCTGTTAACCTGGAGCTGTCATGCGTGGGATCTCATTTTGATTGGACAACAGTTGCCCAGTTTTTTTACATCAGAATTTTTCATTAAACTAACTAGTCAGAATGGTTAAGAGATTTATCGGTTCCTTTTTCTGCTTGATTTCTTTTTGTTAAGGAGGCGGATCTGGCTAGCAGGGCTGCAATGAGTGTTTTCTAATGAACAATCCTGTCAACATGCACACATCTGAAAGATATTCAATGTCTGAGGATAAAGAGCGGAACATCCTCACAGTTTAAAAACCAAAAACACAAAGTGTTGCTGAATAAATGACTTGAACAATCAATTATCAAAATTACTCATCTGATTACGAAGTTATTTTGATAGATCATTGCAGCTCTACGGCCTAGACTTAGATTCACATTAACCTACATAGCACCATTATTATACAAAAGATTAAAGCACCTGAAAACTTGATTCCCAATCTTAATTATTCTCAATAACATATAGGACCTGATAACACCAATCAAAGTTACAAAATAGACACAAAAGGCGCGGAGGTAAAAAAAACAGATGGACTGTTGGGGTTGGTTTGATCACATTTGATTGACATTGGCTAAATACAAGAGAACCGTAATCTGATTTTGATTTAAATGTTGCTAAATGTTACATTTGTGCTCTGAAATTTGTGAGATCAACGAGCTAAAAGAGCACAGAAAAATACAGAAACCTCTTATGTGGAATACCTTGTGTGATTGAGTAAACACGTTTTCAGGGCCTTTAAATGAATATCTGTAATATCTTCTACAATCAAAACAGTTCATACATGATAATAACACATGCTGTTCAGTGACTAGATCAACATTCAGCAACAAGTGGTCATTGTATGCCTCTAACACTCGATCAAGACTCTCTATATCTCATCAAAGAGGTGAGTGAGGGCCGGCGGAGCTGTGGGTGAGGATGTCTCAGCGTTACCTGGCCAGATGATCGCCTCCAGCAGCGTCACCCTGCGAGCCAGAAGCTCAAGGTCTGCCTGCAAGTCATGGAACATCTGCAAGCTAATGTCCTATCAGAAAGCAGTGACAGGGGAACTGTGTGAGGGGGGTGGAAACACCAGCCTGAGTCCTGGGGCTGCTCGCAACTGTTCCCACTCCCTGTCCCAGCAGTGAGGTGCGCTGGGAGACTTTGCCCATCCCCACCTTTTGACCCCTGCCTAAAGCTGACCCTGCCTCAGGCCTCCTACTCACCATGAATACCGATCATAGTCTCAAGGATTAAAACCCTCTCGGCTAAGATCTTCAGCGCCTCTCTGATCTGATGTATGCCGTCCCCCTGTGAAGATAGATACAGCCGTCAAGGTAAGGAGCACAAGCCAAAGAACTGCTCGCCAAGATGCAAGTCATGTTGTTTCTCTCAATACAGTTCAGCAGTTAGAAGGTTAAAACAGTCCACATATCGGCACCCTGTATTTCTCTGGATCTCCCTCATTCTCTGGCCATGCTGCTATATGCAGTCAGTCTCTGCCATGCTAGGCTGGGCATCGTCAGCATGCAACGTTACAGACCAGCCTCTTGTTGGTGACATAACCATGTGGATAACCAGGATTTAGATTTGATCATGCCATCTGCATTACTTTTGTAGGGTAGCGGTTAAGCCAGGCAAGTTTTTTTTCAGCACCACAGCCTTCATTCTTAACGCTGCGGTCGCAAATGTTATTATTATACAAAATGAAGCCAGTATAGATTTACACTGAAATCTCATCTATCTATTTTGAAAGCATAAATCAATGGCTTCATGAGTTGTACGTTAAAAAAGAACAGGAAAAGGATTTGAACAAGAGAAATAAATAGGACAGCTGAAAGAGTAACATCACAAAAGAAGGCATGCAGACAATAGCTGAAGCTGTTGGTGAAATGTTTCCATTAGTAAGACAAACCAAGAAAAGAAAAAGGCAAAGTTTCTCTAAGTTTTGCAATGACTGATTACATTTTATTTTGAGGCATTGATAAAATAGCAGCTTTGCTACGTTCTTTGGTCCGTCCACCACTTTGGTTTGTACTGACACGTTGGTGTGGGTTTCCATTAACATCTTTTACAGACATTCATGATGCCCTCACGATAAATTGTTTTGTTGTGATCCTCTGACTTTCTGAACATCAACCTTAGCTGTTCTTTGTGTCAAGTGAGAATTAGCTAATTACTAAACCAAGATGGCGACCACTGTAGACATATCTGCTAAACATCAGCAAGTTAACATTTTGTACATTTTAACATGCTGACATTACAGTACAGCCTCACATAGGACATTAACATGGCTGCATACTCTTGCGAACAGATACATAATTCTCAAATAAGACTTAGAACTACTTTGCCTTAGTTCGGTGTTAACAGCACTGTGTTATCTCACTTAGTAGATGCATTGTGTGATTGTTTTACATCCAGGAAAGAAAGTACTTAAGGATACATTCATGCAAGGTTGCATTGTGGGATAAAAGAGGGTAGCTGTATCCACTCAACTCACATCAGACCACAACACCTCTAAACCCAACAGGACCGACCACTGACACATATGGAGTGATTTGGCATATACATTTCACTTTTTCGCTTTGAAGTTTGCTTTTTAATTCTGTAAAACCCAACAAAAATAGTTGATTTCAAATAAAATGCACGGAAATTTGAGAGAGGTTTTACTACATTTTAGATTATTTCACTCTTTGAGATTGGTGCGTGGGGTCAGTATTAACGTTGTTTCTTGGTTTATTTTCATGTATATGCCAAAGTCAGATGCTGAAAAAGTGACTGTGAAAGGTAGCCATGGGGACAGTAGCTTGCAGAGGGAGTCAGACAGCTTTAGGGTCAAGAGGACAGTGTCGTGACAGGGGACAGCAGTCCAGAGCACACCCCAAGGACCAACAAAAACACAATAACATCAAAAGATTTCACACACAAATTAAGAGAAATCAACAGGTAAAATCACATATACTCGTACAGGAATCACAATGAAAAACACTTTATGATGGACAGGAAAAGTATGGATTTGAGAGGAGAAGAGATGAACACCACGTGGCCAATCACAGCCATGAACATGGGGATTGTAAAAAGATCATAACAATAACCATAAGAGATGTTGGACCTGATTTAGATTACAGAATAGATTCATTGCAAAGTGAACATGTGATGTCATAATTAAAAAGATATCTTACATTTAGATTGCTCTTGTAAAATGGGAAGGATGTAAAAGGAAAATAAGGGTTAGACAGACACAGAGAAATATTTAACAAAGGAATCTTAAAACGTATTGTTATGTAATATATAAAATCTAAAGTCAAGCCATTCCGTTCAGGCCCCGTCAACATGCACTAAAAAAAACTTGATTAAATGTATTATGTTAGTAGATTTCACATTACTGAATTAGGTTAGTTGAAAGCAATAATATTAGGTTGAACCTATTATTAAATAAACTAATACAGTTATGGGAAATCTGTTGACATAATACATGTAATTAAAGTCCTCCTGTTCAGGTCAACATGTGAAATACCCACAACTACTTTCTTACCGGCAAGCCCTTCACTCCTGGCTCTCCCTTTGAACCCGGTGTTCCCTGCAGAGAGATGTTACAACAGAAAAGGTTGCATCACTTTCAATGACAGATGGAGCACGTTGCTGGTCGGTGTGGTTTGTAACGCTCCTGGTTAGTGTAGTTTACAGTAATATAACCAGCTATGACATGTATTGATGTTTCCCCCCCCCCCATATGCTCGTTTACTCGGGCCATAATCATGGCAGCAGCAGGGTGGAGGTGGCTTACCGACTCGCCTCTGAAGCCCCTCTCGCCTTGGTAACCTAAAGGACCCTGAGAAACCAAAGGCATGTTGTTTAAGGATGTAGAGTAAATGGAGACAACTGGAGAGTATCATGGAGCTGTGGGTGTACTCACTCTCTCCCCTCGCTCGCCCTTTGGCCCCACAGGGCCCAGCGCTCCAGAGGCTCCATTTTTACCCTGTATAGAGTCAGGAAGTAAATTAAAAACACAATGATGAATCTGACGGAGCTAAACTCAGTAAGCGCAGGACCCTGCTGTGAGTGAGCTTACATTCTGTCCTGATGGGCCGGGAAGTCCTACTGGGCCTCTGGGACCGGGGGGACCTGTGATCCAGATAGAAACACTCATTTATTATTCTCACTCTTTCTATAAATGTCACTGCTGGTTCCATTGCTTTTACCAATCCTTAAACTGCAGACCCTGTTATTGTTTTTGCGTTGAAAGCCTTTTATAAGATAGTATTATTATTTTAAGCTTCAAGTTATAATTTTGAAGATTTGTATTCAAATAAATGCCTGCTTTTTTTACTATCTTTCGCCAAATGAATCAGGAATTTGATTAATTGATTAAATTAGATTTTCCCATACAAGAATTTGCTTAGGTGAATAATGATGCACATACGCACAGCAAGAGTAAATAAGTACAAGTAGAGCAAATGCACAAATATTATACAAACTAAAATAAAAACTTACACCAAATACACAAAAAAGAATCTGACCAATTACTTTGAAAGAATATGAACAGTAGGTCTGAGATAGGAGTGGAAGAGCTCTGCAGTTTTAAAAATGTGGAAGTATTCTTAAGCAAATAGTAATGGAGCCTATGGCCCGATGAAAGCCTTTGCATTTGAAGTTTAACAAACTGGGTGATTGTGGCAGAATCTTCAGGAAAAATCACAAGCAGGGCAATGATGGGACCTCTGGAAGTGAGATCCCAAATTACAATTACCACCTGTCGCCAGAGAGGCCGCCAAAGAACACAAAACAGAAATGTTTGAGATTGTAACTTAAAAGGTCCCATGTCATGCTTTTCCGGTTATTACCCGAAAAATCAAGAATGGACCAATCCGAGAACTTCCACACACACACACACACTCTCTCTCACACTCACACTCTCACACTCACACTCACACTCACACTCACACTCACACTCACTCACACACACACACACACACACACTCTTTTCTCAGCTGCAGCTCCGCCGATTTCTCCTCCCTGAGACGGTGGGACGCGGCGAGGCTGTAAGTCAGTGTGAGCACACACACAAACTCCCAGCCAGGCTGCGGGTGTGTGTGTGTGTTCGGGCTGGTTTCGGGCTGGGTTTCGCTGGGTGTCGCTGTCTCGCAGACAGACTGGGCTGGTTTCGGGCTGCGTTTCGCTGGGTGTCGCTGTCTCGCAGACAGCCACTGGCTCATAGGAGGGGGGGGGGGGGGGCAGGAGCATCCAACAAGCCCGTTAGGCGGCCACTGGGCTCACAGGGAGGGGGATGCTGAGATGCTGTATGAGAAACCAATGTGAGTTTGGAAAACTGCACAATATAAATCTATTTTAGTAGACCTCAACAATGGAATTATGATCAGTAGAAATGGCCATGACATGGGACCTTTAAAAAGTAACTCTCAGTTTGTGGACTCATCCTTGAGGGAGGCTTTGTGTTTGGTCACCTGGTTGACAACAAGCCTTTTTGTATGAAACTTTTTTAATTGCTTTTGACAAAGGAAAAATAAAACCGTTTAGGGAGATTTAAACACAACACACACACAATATGAATAGTGATAGACACTCACCGACAGGCCCGGGGGGGCCCTGAGGACCTGGGACTGGCAACCCTCGTGAGTCATGGAAAGTGTTGCTGTACAAAGGGTCTTTCCTACGACCTGGAGTTGGAAAAACCAAATGTGCATTTAATGGGAGGTATTTTAGATTTGTATTACTGCACGACCTGTGTTCACCTGTATTATAAATGTACTATTCGATCAAATATCTTGTTTTTGATTTGCTTTAAGGGATCATTGAGACTCAAAAGGGTTCTAATAATTGTTTTAAATGAGTTTCACCAAAGTGCACTTACCCTAAGACAAAAATTAAGAAATTATGTGAAAACAATGTAATGTTTTGTAAATGTAAGTTTGTATTTTGGGTATGCAGTCATTTTTGTGATACTGTACCTCCAGGCAATTCCCATAATCAATCCATTTTGGTAACATGTATGGATGTCGGATAGGTTACCAAGGCATGATTTTGCCTGACAGTAACTTTCAAACTTTTGCACTTGTGATTTCATAAATGTAAACGTTTGAATACTACTTGTCAAAGCCTTTTGGTGTGGAATGTTATGCTCTTATATAGTTGTTGCTGCGGAAGTCCTGCTGTGAACGCTGTGACACAAAGCAATCCTTCTGTGTTGCTGCCTGAGTAGCTCGACTCTCCGTTGTATTATGGTAACCTCCAGAGGGCAGTATTTTCCAACTAATACTCTATATTCAACGAATAACTTCAACAGGTTAGTAAACTTCCCTCAAATGTGTCCACAAAACTCTCAATAGAAGATATGTGTTCCAAATTCATTACAAACGAGTTTAATCCTAATTAAAAACGTTTAATATATTCTGTGTAACACCACTGACTGGACGTCTACAACTAAATGAGAGGAAGAAGGGGGTGAAAGTTTCAGCTAGAGAGGAAGTTGTGCGGTCATTGGGTAATTTCATACCGACAGGAAACAGAGATCCAATCACAGCATGAGACAGGGACAGGACACACGAGGAGGAGGAGAGCTTTTAGCCAGAAAGTTCCTGCTGCCAGAATGTTGCACACCACTACTTGATGTGACAAAAACTGGGATGCCCTTTCTTTGTCTGCTTCTACACACTCTCTTTATTTCCTTTAAAGAATGCACCTGTGGCTTAACCTAATAGATGGATAGACATATATTCACTAAACACTGTAAAATATACAGAACACATTAAAATACTCTCTAATATACCAATCTGCTAAACATATAAACATAGTGTTATACATTAAAAAAGTGTGCACAGCAGCTTTAAATATATATCGTGTATGGCAGTCTGTTGCAGCAGCTCCCAGTGTGTGTTAACACTTTTACAAGACTGAAATGAGACAACAATGCTCCTCCTCCCTACTTAACGTCCTGGCTGCTGGGTTGGGAACCCTCTCCTGTTCAGCAGAAGGGAATTCCAACCTCCTGATGCAGACGTACGAGCCAAATAAACCAGTGTTTTCTGAAGGAAGCTCAGCACGTTCCCTACTGTTACTTTGATGTGATAGAAATGGCTCTGAAATCATTATGCCAACCTCAGCGTACCCACAGCTTCTCAACACAGGAACCCAGAGTTTACTAATCTGTGGACTGCATACTTTGTTTTACCACTGAATCCACAAATAAAGCCCACCGTTGGGTTGACCTTGAAAGAGCCGACGCAGACCCCCATCTGTCTCTCACCCCCCGACCTCAGCTGTCTGAGCGGAGGTCCTACATCTGGAAGCTGTTGAGTGACATCAGTGACGGACAGGTTCTCATCCCAGCATGTGAAGTCTGAGTCCATCTCGGCCTGCCTCTGCCTCCATTTAATACTCTCTGATTCTCTACTACTTGGCTGGTAGACAATGAGGGGTTGTAGGATTTACCACCAGCCTGTCTGTTTCTCATTCTCATTGTTTCTTTTGGTAATCAGCAGGCCTGAAATGTATGAGAGCTTTTATGCAGCAGGAGAGAACATTAATACCAGCAGTTCGCAGCTAAAGGTCTGAAAAACCTATATCATCCAGCCTGAACACAAAGGCTTTGATTTAATTAGTCTATATGGAATTGTACTGGTTTCAAGGCAAACTTAATTAAAACAATTAAAGCAGGGGTGTCAAACTCAATTTCATCGCGGGCCACATTAGCATTAGGGTTGCACTCAAAGGGCTGGTTGAACTTTAAGACTATATAAAAATACATATATAAATATATAATATATATAAAATAATGTATTATATTATATTATTGCCCCTGCATTGGATTATTATCGGATAGGGTAATAATTAACTACGTCTGAAAGCAGAAGTCTAGGGCAAATAATTGCAAGTCTCTTCAGTGCGCATGTCAGAAAACAAGATGCGTCGTGGAATATGTAGTTTATCGGCAACCTGCTTCTGTAAAGCGGCATGTAACTGTATAATAAATGTATTATATTCTTTGCAAGCTCTTGCGGGCCACAGAAAATGAGTTTGCGGGCCGGATTTGGCCCCCGGGCCTTGAGTTTGACACCCCTGAATTAAAGGGAAAGTGCCCTGTTTGTACACATCCAAGTTTGACATGTCTCGTATAGTACTACTATTTAAATAAAACCTTTTGTGGCTCTGATACATTTCCCCAAGACATTTCACAAATGCTTGGTTGTAGAGTTGCATTGTGGGTAATGTAGGCAGCACCTTTTGACACATGTTGGCGTCAGGTTTTGACAAAAAAGAACATGTGTTCGAAAACTCTGCTGCTACTGAATCAATTTCAACTTTTTTTAAACTGTCCATCACCAAAGGCAGTGCCGTGTGGATGGAGTACTATTTAAAGACCCGTATTCATCACAAATATATATATGGAGTGCTTTTATCTATTTGCTGTGGAATTGGCGTCATAGTGAATGTATGGAGTGTGTTAGTCTTACTCTGGTCTGGTTCTGGGATGTGGGCACTGGCCGGAGCTGGAGGGCCAGGAGGGCCTGGTGGGCCGGATAGACCCCTCTCTCCTGAGGGTCCTGATGGTCCACGGGGCCCTGAGAGAAGAAATGACAAAAACGTCACTGTGGTGACAGAGATACTGTGCTTCAGAACTATGTCATAGCTCAGTTAGATCATTACGTTTCTCTTAGAGAGGCACAGCACAACAGGATAATGATAAACGACTTTGGTTGATGTGATGACAGAAGGGTAAACTATAACAAAGACCAGAGAGGAAATAGATTAGATTAAGTGCCAATGATACTCTATAATCGTGTGTGTGTGTGTGTGTGTGTGTGTGTGTGTGTGTGTGTGTGTGTGTGTGTGTGTGTGTGTGTGTGTGTGTGTGTGTGTGTGTTCAGGGGAATAAAATAAGCAGCTGGACAGAGAAGTGTATGAGCTGGCTAACTTTGTTCTTCTGTCTTTAAGAGAAGCAGGGTCTTTAATAGTCAGGGGCTTGGACCTGACTTTGTGACCTGCGTTAAACTCAAATAAACACCAATAAACTCTGAAGAGTGTTACTGGCACTGGTTTATCGTAAGCTAAATGCTCCCTGCTTACACACCGCAAGTTTTTTTTAAATGTGTGTGTAAAAACCTGTACCTGGTACATGTGCCAGTTAAATAGTCCTTCCTCCAAGCCATCTTTATAAGGTGGGAAAAAACCACCATGGCTACATCTGACCTCATTGCTCGGACTCTCCTGAGGTAATGCTGCCCCCTAAACACCACCTCTTGCGCTCCGAAAGACCCAGACTCATCACCTCTCTGTTTATGTACCGATGCAACTGACAATGACAGTCCACTAATTACTGCTTTGAAAGGTGATGTTATTACAGCTCTGATTCGACACCTCTGCGGGCCGTTTTCACTTAGCCCCGGTAAACACTGCAGCATGACCGTCTGTGTTTTGGCTGCATCGGGCTGACTGTAATCTACAATCTGCGGCACAGTGGTTGAACGGTGATTCAAAGTGGCCCTGTGACATGTTGTGGGAAACAGTTAGCATTTCTTACTGCAACATAAGGAATCACTAGAGCAACCAGGGGATGCTGTGTCAAAACATGGGACAACATTTGTAAAAACAACATGATTCATCATAACGTACAATATCACTTCTACAAGTTCACTCTTTTCCCAGCACTTCAATAACCTCCGGCTCAAATGCACTTTTGTCTACATTTTCCATGACATTGGACCCATTCCAGTCTTGTGTTTATCTTTCTCTTTAAAGTGAAAAAAAAAACAGTTCAATAAAGAAAAACAGAGCTTCAGATACAAGACATAGCTCTGGTTTTGGGTACTTATGAAGTAATGGAGATAGAAAAAACAATAACACCACAGCCATATGGAAATCATAAAGACCTGGGATTTGTGTATATATAGCTCAGGTTCATTTCAGATTGAAGTCACATGGTGCTTCTCGGAGAGTGGGTTTGTATTTTAACTTCTAAATCTCATCTTTACCCAGCAGCAGGCACAGAGGAGGGGTCATATGTTAGCTTGAGAGGAGAGGTACTCCCTTCATGATGCAACGCAGAGAGAAAAGCGCCTATAGCAAGAGCAGATGTTGTGATAAATGTATTCTGTCATTTATTTGACCTTCATTCAATTCACATCTGCCTGTGGATTAACATTAAGCCCAACAGGTCATTTATTGTTTGTCAAAAACTAGGGAGCTCTAAATACATGGCGCAGGTTTATGATGCTGGTTGGTAAGCAGCACCCGTGTTGGGATTGTATCTATAAATAAAGGCTTCTGCTAACCACAGAAAATAACATTTTTAGAAACATTTAAACAAAGCCAAAGAACAAAATACCCAAATTCCAGCATGTAACCAGCAGACGGACATTCACCACTGGAGGGTTTGTGGGTCGACCCGAGTGGTTTAAAAGAAAGACAAATACTCTGCAGCAGGATACCACGGGCAGACCTTTCTCTGATTCTTCCGCTCTTGTTTCAAGCAGTCTTTGGTCAACAGTGAGCCATTCAAATGTCTTGTTATAGGGACAATAGTTTAAATGGGTAGGTATATAACTATCTTGCACCGTTTTCTCAAAGACACACACACATATTTACAAGAAGCTCATTGACACACTGTGTCAACAACTACTACAAAACAGGTTCATTTGTTCCTTTCTGCTCTTGACTGTCTGCTAGCGGGGGGCTGTAGTACCTGCAGGTCCCGAGGATCCCTTGAATCCAGGGGCTCCAGACGGGCCCCTCCCCCCGGCTTCCCCCCTAGGCCCACTGGGACCTGGCAGCCCTCGAGACCCTGGCTTCCCTGAGAGGAAGAAAACAGTCATGAGTAATCATGAAGCCCTAACATCTTAAAAGGTTTTACATGCACTACAAGTCAACTACAGTTACAATGTACCTTCTCTGCCAGAAAGCCCATCTCTCCCCTTTTCACCCTGAGGACCTGCAAGGAAAACAGAGAGGTGACTTCATTAAGAGGTGGAAAAAGTCTGGGCTTCAACCACCTGGAGGATCTTGGTGTAAATCCACTGGGGGATTAGGTACAACTCTCCATTTCTAAGTATAAGAGAAAAAGACTTGTCAATTCTGTGTTCATGTCATCCATGGGGCTTATATTTCCGTTAAAGCAACTCATCTCAACTTAATATTTTCACTCATTGAAGAAAAGCAACGATCTCAAGGTATTATCCATTCATTTTGACTCAGCTAATGGATTTCTAACAATGATGGCTGGTTGAATTACGGCATTTGTTAAAGAAATGAGGAATGAAGCGTCTCTGAAATAATACCTTTAAGAGACGTCACTTGACTCAGTGTTGGTTGCTTCTAAAAGAATTACAATGAAACTCTGGAGGTGAGGAGTTAGAAAGAAGGCACTTTACCTGACCTCTTACACCGCTACTAGTCTGTGGTCGAGTTGCATTGGGATGGGTATCGTTAGGATTTTATCGATACCAGTACTGCTTATCGGTATTTTTCTATACTCTTATCGATACTTTTCAATAATTTGGTGTTAATAAACTAAAAAAAGACAAGGCGATGTGCCTGCAAGACTGCACCCAGGTAAACAAAACATATTACCCGTGCGCAGCAGCTAACCTGCCTGTGAACCTTGGCTCAGGTCACATTTACACACGGCGCGGCTGAAGCCCGCTAGCACTATTAGCACTATTAGCACTAGCAGTATCACTAGCACCGTTTTAGATTCAATGAGTGTCTCGGTTGCAAATGCTTCATTAAGTTGCTTGTGTCACCCCCTTTACAAAGCAAGATAATTGGTGACATAGATTGAACCTTGCCACTATCGACCCACTACATTTTTTTAAAGTGGCCCCGACCTTGG